TTTGATCGGCAGGGTAACTTTGACCACTTTTTGTTTTTTAATAAAAAAAACAAAACTAAAAACAAATTTGACATAGAAAAATTTTGTCAATGGCCATCAAAGGCCTAATACTGAGGCTACATAACACAATAGAAGGATTTAAAAAGTTTGCATATCTAATAGGTTAAAAAATTAATAATGTGACCCACGAAAAAGAGCCATTATTTAACTTTTTAATGGGCAAACATTGAAATATCCAGAAATTAAAATTTCAGCAACCATTACAAGAAAGTAAGAAGTATTATACAATATATTTATTTCTATGAATTTTTGCAAATTTTGCCTATTGAAGGTTTAAATCGCACTTGAAGAATTCAATAAATGCGATCAAAACACAAAATTTTTCTTCATAATCAAAATTCAGTTCAAGCAAATGAAAAATTAGAAACATTAAAATTTAATTTAATTAAATTTAATCAAGTTGTCAAAAAAACAAATATATATATTGATACTTCCAAATTTTGAAGAAAATGCGGAAAGAGCGTCAATTCCATTGTCCGAGTCAAAACCTTCATTTAAATGCTCATATTTCAATTTGTGGACTTTGCAGCTGGTGATGCTATAGATAGAACGAAGGTCAGATAATTAGTGATTGACTGAGGCATTATAAGGATGCCTCAAAAACAAACAGGAAGCCGTGGTGAGGCTTTTTGTGACGCGATTTCAAGTGATCATATATGGTAACTTACCCATGAAAGGGTTAAAGCCTATCAGAGTACACTCTCCAATTTTTTAATTTTTTTTGTAAAATAACTCCAGGTTTTGATGCATTGTAGTAGAACTCTTCTAGTTACATATGCAAAAGACAAATTTTAGGAAAGTGTCATAGTTTGCAAATGGGGGGCGCCGCCCCCAATGGGGGACCTTGACCACCTAATGGCAGCCGTGACGGGGTTACATTGACCGGCTTGGAAATTAAGTTAAAATTACCATAGGTACCTATATAACATATTTTATGTTTGATACACCTATTAATGTTTTTTTCTATATATTTCAGACTCTACAGTCTTATATAGGGTAAACGCGGTATATTCCGACATCGTAGGTAATTCCGTCACCTCTCCAGCTTTTCCTTTATATTAAGCTTTGTTTTAGTTCCATGCGTTCATTGATGGTTGAAATGGTGATGTCATACATTTGCGTGTCGAAATACTGCAAAAAACACTAGGTTTTGGCCATCTAGTGAGAAAATATTGAGATCCAAAGAGAGACAATGCATGCCACGTGGTGAGATCATCAAAAAATGTGTAAAATTTGACAGTTGACATGGCTCTACCAAATAGTGAATAACTGTTTTTATAGGAAGAATATTATGGTTTGCAACTTTTAAATACGTCTGTGAATATATTAGGAATCGTTTAAGTATACTTGTATTTGCTGATTTCAAGTCGTAAATAAATTAATAGATGATTAAGTTGAGATGTTGGATTTAGACACATGAAAACTAATTCCAACACAACTTGAATTGGACACACACAGATCGTTCAAAGCTTTGTACAAAAATTGAAATTTGCTTAATTAAAAGCCTAATAGCTGTTAATTAAAACGTAATTAAGTAGTGTTCAATATTCGTTAGTGTTTGCGCTAATCAAAACTGGCACCGCGTAGATTAAGGGTAGGTCGCAAATTTTTTTTCCGCGTTAATCAAAACCGCGGTATTCAAAACCGTGTTAATCAAGGGATTGCTGTATAGGGATTTGGTAGGTTTCCATTCTAAAGGCTTTTTAATAAATATGGCAACATTTTGTGACGTTTCATCGTTGCTGACGCGTAGTGAAGTGTTTTGAGAGTCATGTGAAGGCAACAGAACTTACGTAACGCATACGGTTTTTTTTATAGTTTTTCATTTCTCGATGCGTCCTTAAAGTGTCGGAATATACCGCGTTTACCCTACCTATAGACATGTATTTTGCTTGTTTCAATTTAAGTTTAAGTGTTTAACTTAGGCTATCTAGTAAAAAAATTGCATCAGTTTGAAAAAAAAGTGGTCAAAGTCACCCCATTTTACGGTATATACTAAATTTTTTTTACCTAAAACTTATAAGTAAAAAGTGAGAAAATTCCAATTTAGCCCCTGGATTGAAGATTTTTAGCAATTGTTACAGCCATGAGTCTCATGGTTAGCAAATCATCTTTTCATATCAATGTCATTTTGCCATTTTCAAACAATTGGGTTAATTTACAATTTCATTCAGTAGGCCTCCACCTACCTAGACTAGAGGCTAGAACATGCTATGAAATATGATGCTACTTTGAACCCTTCAATTGTGAAATTTCTCTATATTTGGTTTCAAGTTTTTAGCCCTTAGGTTGTTTATTAATTTGGTTTCTTCAACATTATCTTTGTCTTGCAAGTTGGACCAACAACTAACCAAGCCATGGATAGCCACCAACTATGAGTTTGAACCTAGGTACATAAAAAGGAACAACTCAACATAACATAACAATGATAACATACTTAAACATAGTGATGTCGGCACTAAAGAGTACCTATAGGCTATAGTATAGCACTATAGAGTATAGCCTATAGGCCTGATGATTGCCGAATCTTGAACTTCAGTAATCACTATAAATTCATAGATAAAGCAGCAGAATTGAGCACCCACATAAATTATATCACACAAAAATACATTAAAAAAACAAAAGAGCTCTTAGGTGATGGTGAGTGGCAATAACTAAAAATACTCTAACAGCAACAATTTGTCGCACTAGCTAGCCTAGGCCTACCTGTACAACTGAGCCTACCTACCGAGTTAAGCATCGTCTCTGTGCACATGCAGACGCATCGGCTGAATGCCGCAACACAACACGTCGCCATATCACAGAAAATTCATTCGTCAACAGTTCAGGTAAAATGAGACCAAATTTCTTTGAAAAAACTATTAACAAGGTTAGAAAAAAAATTAAGAAGATATTTTCAAACATAACAATAGAAGTAAACAAATATATTACTGGACAGCCAACAGCAGACAATGAGCTCCCTCAAGTTGTGTTCTTCTTCTCTATGGTCAATACAGAGCAACATGTCGGAAATATTAAAAAAAAAACACAAGAATTCATCTCGACTGAAAATGAAAAATAGAGTCCATATATATGAAAAGAAAAACATTTTAGGGAACAACAAATTTTCATTAAATATTTGCAATATTTAAAATATAATTGACAGGTTTGATAACTCATAAATCGAGGTGTGATGGATAGATAATAACAACGACTTAGAAAATAGTAGGGCGAATGCACTTACTTGCTGGTAAAATGATATAGGAATGAATTATCTCCCGAAATTTATTATAATATCTGCTGATCAAATTTTTCCTCTCCGTACCGTATTGTCACATAAATTTGTAATCATTCTTATCGCTTCAAATTGCTGCTAGTTAGTTACATTCTAAAATTTAAGCCGATTTGTTTAGAATTAAAAGACTAAAGACCGGATAAGCCGCGTAAAAATTGCGTGTTTTTGATTTAAAGGAAAAAATTTAAATCTGCATCCCTATCGCGGCGCTCTGCTGATAATTATATTTCAAATATCAGACAGATCCATTTGGAATTGTAGACCCTTGTGATTGCTTCAGTTGGTCAAAACTTACGTTTCTCATTTAAATCGAATGAACATGACACTAAAATCTTTAATCGTGGTGCGATGCTGTTAATTTGTTATATTCTGAATTTCACACAAATCTGTTCGAATTTACAGGACTTAAGATGGTTCAGATGCGCAAAAGTTGCGTTCTGCGCTTGTGTCCGCTGGCGCGTTCACGGGTTAGTTCGGAACAGGGTCGATTCAGTACGCCGAACTTACCAATCTTGAGATGTGTAACGAATGAAGATGCAACTGATTTCTTAGAACTACTATGCAGGCAAAACGTCCAAAAAAAGTCACCGCACTAACACTAATGGGACAAAAATTTGGAGCCGATTCTCTTTTATCGTAACCGAACAAAACCAAAAATAACACCAAGGCTTATCATTATTCACAATACGCTTTTGCGAGCGTTGTCAGTATTTTTATTCCTTTTTTTTACGCAACCCGTTCAATATCAAGTTTGAGCATACCTCGCAAGCATACAAAAAAATATGTATGCACTTGTATTGGGCTCGGAACGCTATAGTAGCCTATGAGATGCTCGTTGACATCTAAGGAATCAATACAAGACGCTACAAAAAAAGCAGTTTCAGCGTGAGGAAGTGATTTAATTTCGGCGTCACATTGAGCATAGCTTCTAGTCTTATTATCGATCTCGGCGCATTCTGAACTTCACTGCATATGGCTTTGAGTGCCATTAAAATCACATTCCAGAACTGTGCGTATCAGATCCTACTAGTTAAAGCTATACAAATGTTTTTTTTTTACTAGATGATCGAAAAGCTTACGTATGGTACAAGAAAAATTTTTAACATGGCGGCAGAGTGCGTAACGCCATGCGCCACGCGGTCTCTCAAAGACAGCTCGGAATCCATCTTAACGCTCATGTCTCCATTTTCCTCTCCATTCGGTCAATGTTTTTTTCTAACCTACCTGCCATAACTTTTTCTGATGATTCAACACGAAAAAATTGGCCCTAAAATAGTAGTACCTTGGTAAATACTGCTGCTTACATCAGCCTCACCGACTGTGCCCATTTACAACAGTCGGTTTTCTTTCCAACAACAAATCATGCAATAAGAACCACACCCTATATTCAATTTAAAGTATAAATTATGGGATTTCGAGTTAGTTACGGAAATTTCACAACCATTCTTCATCTATGGAAAAGCTTCTCATACCAAGTACCCTGCATCTGTACAAATTCCTCTTTCAAGATATCCGAGTCTAAAAGGGATTGGTTCAGTCTGCAGGAAAATTTGTCAGTCAAGTCACCAAAAGATTTCGATAATAATAATTCGAGCAAATGAAGAGATTGAAAAAATGAATGGAAGTTAAAAAATAAAGACTACTGGGATGAAATTAAACTCGTAGATTCTCTGGCACTTATATTAATTATAACGACTCTATTGACACGAATGTTGACCTCCCAGGGCTTCCAACTCAAATTATTATGATATTTTCATAACATCATCCGATGAAGGGTAGACAATAAATTCAATATCCATCAAAATGATGTAGTAGTCGAATTATCATTTTGCATATACGTTAACAGCGACGTGGTCCTGGGCTGCGATGTCGCCAGGCATGTAGACTCATGGACAGGGGACACATAGCCTTGACTTTAAATGAGATCCAAGTTCAGGCTTTCATTCAATCTCCCCGAGATAAACTTGCTTATCGTTGGAGACCGATAAAACTGGAAACGTGAAAAGAATGGCAGTAATAACCTGCAGATGACGGGAGCACACGCAAAAAATAAGTTAAGAATATTAAGCATCATCTGTAAAAATAAGTTTGATGAGAAATAATATTTGTCGATGAATAAGACACCGATATCTTTACATCAAGACGCAGGAGCTACTGGCACGCTTGATAACTTATCTTATAAATACTCTACCTAATGTGATTTATACCAGAATTTATTACCCATCAACAAAAATCTATACCTATTAGGAGCAAAACCAGCTAAAGATCTTACAGTTTTGAAAGGACAGTCTTGCAAAATGCAACTGGCTTTCCCTAGCTACAGACTTGTGATAACGCTCGTAATCCGATTCGACAAAAAATTTATATTTCAACTAATTTGAACAGAAAATCTTCCTTTTATCAATAGACATGTGCAAGATTAACTCATAAGTTATATTCTTGATGACTGATAGTCTTTACTGAAACAAGAGAAGAAACAAAAGACCGTTATTGTTACCTAGCCAATCTCTGGCGACCCCACGACCGAAGGCAGCACTCACCGATGGGCTCTCTAGGATGGAATGCCACTTCATTCACTGTTCCGTTATGACCGGGCAACTTGTAGAGCAGCGCTCTGCTGGTCGTGTCCCATACGTGCACGTGTCGGTCACTTGAACCAGCACCAACGCGGCGGCCATCACACGACCAACTGCACCGCAGCAACGACTATAAGGCAAAATATCGATATGATTTTTCATGTTGTTTGTGTAAAAGAGAAGTCAAAAACATCGACAGTGAAGTTAACGCTCCATCACACACTGCACAACACAGTCCACAGGCAAGTCGGATCATGATCACAGGTTTTCCTAGCTATGTATGCAAAAAGAATACAGCAATCAGTTTCGGCAAAGTTTCAATAACTACTTTGAGTAATCAAATTATTTCTACTGTACCGAGTATTCAAAATGCACAACTCTCTCCACCACATATAAATAAATAAATAGCCAGTTCTGCCAATTGACGATATTATTCAACAATTAAATTTCGCTAAAATGTTCATTTTCATATCATATAGATTATCATTTAATTTTCCAACATATAACAACAACCAGGTACTTCTCTGAATGAGCCTATTCAATCAAACCATGTTGAGCAAATAACAATAATATGGCGAAACATTTTTCAACGCAGCTACCTGTTGTTATCACTCGTTCAGTGGACACTGAGTTGCGCATCGGTTCTGTTCACATGAAGACACATCAGCTGAGTCATCAGTTAACACCCGAATTGACAAACAACATGTCGCCACATTACAGAAAATTCCTACCATCACGCCCACTTGTGCTCTGGAATACTAACTCGAGTGCAACATATAAGTGCAACAATTAAATGCAACACTCACTCGAGAGTAACAGTCGCTCGAGTGCAACACTCGCTGAGATGCAACACTCACAGGACTGCAACACTCATGGCAAGCCATTCAGAAAAGAAACTCAAAGCATATCGCTAACTGTCATATTCATTTTGAACTCTCATTTATTTCGTGGGCGACGAGCCGAGACCGATAACACAAACGAGGTTTTAAAAAATCTTCATTCAGAAACCACACCATATGAAGCACGAGCAGGCAGCCCAAGGCGTCGCACCTGTTCAAAGTTATGCTGGTGTCCCTGGAAAATTTTGACGCATCGCTCCTGAGGAGCAAAGGGCCGCACGTCCCAGATCCGGAGCGTGTTGTCCATGGCGTTGGAGAGCACGTACGATCCGTCAGGGGACAAGGACAAGCCTGTCACTGAGTCGTTGTGGCCCTTCATTCTGTACAGGGTAGCGTTCTTGCGCAAATCCCAAACCTGAATAAATTTTAAGTGGAATTGAAGAACAGGTTGTACATCAAATGGAGGAATATACATCAGTGGATCAATTGATAAGCTTATCCCTGCAGCTATTTATATTATAAGTGCACGATAGAATTTGACGCAATTCTTACGAGTTGAACTAGTATTTGAGTGAAACCACAACACACTTTTCCCGGATTAATCAAATTTATGGTCTATGTAAAACAGATACTAAAAGTATCACCACCCAACTGCTCTGGAATACAAATCCAGCAGTGGAATCAATGCTCACAAATTCAGTAAAAAAACTGCTTTAATCAGTGAACACCCGAATTGAGCCAGCGTGTGCCAAATGGGCAGTGTGTACCATTAAAAAAGTATAAAAAAATCATAATGATAGATTGACATATTCCAAACTCATTTTTACAAAACAAAATGTAAGTGATTTAGATTACCATCCAACTATTTATTTCTTGACGATCCAAATTTTTCTACTTTTTTCTAAACTTGCACATCAATTTTGTAAATTGGAGAACATAGACATGGAAATAACTCAAACACGCACAATTCCAACCCAAGTAGCGCTATTAGAAATCCATTTCTGATCCTTACGTGATGATAGCTAGAATGACAGCAGCAGAAATTCAAACCCAGCAATTCAAAGGCTCTGTCCGTCCTTAATAAGTCGCAGTTTTTAGGCTAACTCAGAGGAAAATTTAGACACCAACGAAAATTTTATAAAATAATCAGTAGGCTCAGTACATTCATGATTCTCATCACGGGGATAGAGACCAACGGTACAGCACATAGCACCTGTCACGTCTTTCCCTCGATAACAAGGCGTTAAAAAAGGATATAATTATATTATTATACTTTACATGATTACCTTAATATCGTTCTCAATGCCTCCAGAAATGACTTGCTCGGCTGTGTCGTTGAAAGTCACTGATGTCACCTGACGGTAGAAAGAATCTAAGATAACAAAGAAACTATTTCGATCAACAGTAAACCATCTACAGCAATAAGTAGCCAACATATTTTTATGCTCTATCAACACATTTCTTAACTACCTAGCAAATGAGTAATTTAATTTCGTCATGAATTTTGACAAGTTGAAGAAGGTGAAAAATAGTCGGTATGTTTCGTAAGCTGCCTGTGAAGTAAGAGCAAAAAAATGTATAAGTGAAATTAACTAAAACGTAAAACTCTCACACCGGTTTAACCATTCTTCAATTTGACAACATTGAGTGCGACCATCAACATTTAAAACCTCAAAATATATCCCAAACTTGAAGACTGAAGAGATATACAAGTGTTTTGTGCAAAATTAAAACCAGCAACTAACAAGTGAACGAGCAAATGGATCAGTATTAATGCCGCTCGTGGCAGCAAGAACTTGCCAAGGGCTATAGGCAGTGACCTGATAAGGATTGATCAGACAGGACCCAGACAGTGACCGGGTGAGGATTGATCAGACAGGACCCAGACAGTGACCTGGTAAGGATTGATCAGGCAGGACCCAGACAGTGACCTGATAAGGATTGATCAGACAGGACCCAGACAGTGACCTGATAAGGATTGATCAGGCAGGGCCCAGACAGTGACCTGATAAGGATTGATCAGACAGGACCCAGACAGTGACCTGGTAAGGATTGATCAGGCAGGGCCCAGAAAGTGACCTGATAAGGATTGATCAGACAGGACCCAGACAGTGACCTGGTAAGGATTGGTGAGGGTGGTGACAGGCCGACGTCTCCTCAGGTCCCACACAACAATTGAGCAATCGTCCCCTGCACTTGTGACCAGAGGAGGGCCTCTGCGTGCGCTGCTCACACTGTTCACGAAGCTGCTGTGACCTGCCCATTTCCAATTATTCTAACACATTATAATTCCAACAAATTATAATTATACAAATTGTAATCAATACAACGAGTTATAACAATTACAACGAATTATAATTATTGTAACAAATTGTAATTATAATAAATTATGAGTGCTATCATGCCCTGAATGCTTGGTTTACATTTAAAGGTGTTTTTTTGTATACTCTGAATATTTTTATTTAGTTAGAAAACTTTCAAGCAATTTAGGGATTATGGGGTTTGTGATTACCTACACTTTAAGGGGATCGTTTTGGTTCTGGAGAAGCCTTTACATTTATCAACCAATCTTCCTGAAATTTCACACACATACGTAAAACGTAAAATGAAAAACAATTTGCTCATATGAATTTTTTGGAAAAAAATGAATGAAAATGTGGAATTACTAGAAAACGGTAAAAAAGGGGGTATTGTTGAAATCTATCTCCTCCTAGGATTTTCAAGCTACGACATCGAGACACATATCATTCGATTTGTAACAATATTATCTAGTGGCTCTAGTGCCTCAATTTTTTAGCTTCTTCATCGTTTTTCATTTATGCACGTCTTTTCCATTTTTCCACATTTTTTCCATAAATGAGAAAATGCGCCAGCGAGGGCTCCTAGAGTAGCTAGGTATTGTTTATTACAAATCGAATGGTATATATCTCAATGCTGTAGCTTGAAAATTATAGGAGAAGATAGATTTTTAAGATGGCGTTTTTTGGATTTTTAAATTGTTCAGGGAAGCCAAGTAAAGTAAAATTTAATAAATAGAGAAGAATATGCCATAAAAATTCTTGATATTGTAGCCCAAGCTTTCCCATTGCCAATTAGTTGCTTTTAGGGTACCAGCACGCGTCTTCAGACTTATTCTTGTCCAGTTTAGCGTGAATAATAAGCTATAAATGGGATTTTTTACACTTATATATATATCTAAAATATTCATTTTATATAGGTTCAAAACTGCATTACGCGAAAATTATTGCATGCACATCTGTGATATTTGCTTCTTTGAACGCACATTGTTTGTAGCTTCCAAACGAGTGCAAACACTAGGCAATTAACACAAATAATGATCTATAAATAAAAATTTCAATTTAAAAATTTGTAAATATTGTTACAAAATGATAATTTTATAAAAGTTTCAGACTGCATTAAGCAAAAATTAAAGCATGTACATCCATGGTAGTAGCTTAATTGAATGCGTCTTGTTTGTAACTTTCAAACGAGTGGTAACACTGTGTAATTAACGACAGTAACGATCTATATGTACAGATTTAATTCAAAGAAATCTTTGTACATATTGTTAAAAAATGTTCATTTTACATGTTTTTAAAATTGCCTTCTGCAAAAGCTATAGTACGCACATGCTTGCAGTTTGCTGCGTTAGATGCGCCTTTTCAGCAGCTACAAAATGAGCCAAGAAAACAGAAAAGCCAAAATTTTCAATTTTTGACCGAAACGATCCCCTTAAATAGATAATGCGATTTGTACCTTAGTAATGTAAAGTAAGCTGCATGCAATGAAATAACATGGAACTTATCTTTCAGTGCCAAAACCTTCCTGAACACTTAATAGGCAAAATAGAGGATATGACTGACTAATACGGTTGAAAGTTATCTCCTAGTCTCCAACAGAAGTTGCAATAAATTCATAACGGGAATAGAAACACTGAATATTTTGCATAGGCTTATGTAAATTCTTCTCAGAATTCAAAACAAAATTTTGAACTGAATATTTTATGGCACAAGCAAACATTTAAAAAATATAACTCAGTAGGTACTCACAGCAGTGAGTGACAGAGAGCGCATTTTCTCGTTGACGAAAACTTGAGGTCACGAACAGACAGACAGACGGACATGGCGAGCACAATAGTGCATTTTTTCCATAAATGAGAAAATGCACTAAAAACAATCTCCATTATATTTCACACAGAATAATGAGTCTTCAACAATTTCCGCAGAAGTAAAGAAAATTAGTAACATTGAATTGTTTGTAATAAATACATAGATTAGCTGAAGAGAATAGTCGAGGTTGATGTGATCTCAAATTACTGAGAAGAGCCTCAAGGGAAAATACTAGACTATACAATTCATATTTATCTTGACAATTTTCGAAGTGGCTTCAGAAGTTGAATTTATTCGGTGGCTTACTTGAAAATTATTATTCCAGTTACTCCTGTTATGCAATCATTAAGTGATGAATAAATATTTCCTATTTAATAGACCATTCTCACTGTGAGGTTTTCATTCAGTTAATCAGGACTCAAAGCACTTTTTAATGTATAGTACGCAATCTCACCTTTGAATTTCTTAATTCTCTGTCCAGTGCTGAGGTCCCAGCACATCACTGTGCGGTCAGCTGATGCTGAGTACAGCACCGAGCCATCAGCATTAAAGCACAGCTCAGTGATGGCGTTTGTATGTCCAGTGAGCATGCCAAAATTTTCGCACTCCCCATACACTTTCCAGAATACTGTAAGAAAAACGTGATTAAGATGTGGATATTCAAAATAATGCAGCATGAAAAAACATGGCATACCGTAGGGGGCAAAAAAAATACAAATAAATAAGAATCATCATTCCTGACATGACCTACGGTACTGTTGATAATTAGCAAGATTTAGACTGAATCTCAAGGGAAATATAAGTGACTAAAAATGTAAACATGTAGACGGTCTAATATAATTTGAAGGATTCAATAAATCATATGAATTAGGACTCCTAGGAAACTAAGACTTTTTAGGGGGATAGTTAAGAAAATACAGTGAATATACAGATTAGTTAGAAACTTAGTAGACAAAAATTTAGAAAAATACATTTGCACAATAAATCAGTCAATTTAAATAGCATTGTTAAACATTATTGCCAGAAAAAAATTGCTACAAAATAGATTAATGTATTAGAGATCAATGTTCAAATTACAAATAACAAAGCAAAGCCTTATGTAGGATCTTCACATTTAAACATTGCTATGAAATGGAGATACAACAAAATTCAGGAGTAAAAACTCATTCCCTGCCAAAGAATTTAAGCCTATGAAACACAAACTCCAAGACAATTCTCACAATGCAGTACCTACATCCTAAACTACAGACATACTACTGTAAGCTATGTAGAGATTACAAAACCTAAAGTGTATGAGAAATAGAATAACATTGAATATTGATATAAACATGACATTTTTTATATGGTACCAGTATGCATCTTTTCAGAGACAATTCTTGCCTCAAACTTTACAAGCCCAATTGCAAACTTGAAAAGAATACTGAACATTTTAACTCTGAGATCAATACCAACTTACAGATCGCACTATCCATGCAGCAGTTGCCAGACAGTGTATAATAACGTGACAAATACCGTATACACCCCTTAAACTCTGAGACAAATACCAACTTACAGATCGTTCTATCCATGCCAGCAGTTGCCAGACAGTGTATAATAACATGACCAATATACACCCCTTAAACTCTGAGACCAATAATAACTCACAGATCATTCTATCCATGCCAGCAGTTGCCAGACACTCGCCATCAGGGTGGAACCGTCCACAAAGGATGTCCCCCTGGTGCCCAGTCAGCTGCATGATAGGAGCAGCAAGAGCAGATGTGCGAGGAGGCCCCTGCAAATATACATAGACATCAATATGATTTCCCAGTTAGCTTGGCAAGTTAGCAGGTTATATATACAAAATTTGTGCATGTTCATGTCAAAGAAAAAGACTAAATGTTTTTGATTACAGTTGAATAGCAACAAAATGAATTACTGTAAGATTGGCATTACTTTAAACATTATTTATCTATGTCACGTTGATAGTCAAATGTAATATCTGAGCAGATTTAGACTAATGGATAGTTTATTCAAAATAAATGACTGCTCTATTCCAAAACAAATTTAAATGTACAAAATAGAGTAGAAGTTAAGATTCCAATTAAATGTCACTTGTAATTGGCAACAAAAAATCAACTTACATTAGCAACCACAGAGTTCTGCACACCCTCTCGAGCTGCTACAAGTTCACTGCGAGGCTTCTTTGGTTGCAAAGCCACAATCATCTGATCAGCTTTTCTCTTCATATCCATTGCAAAACTATTTTCTATATAACTTCTGGAGAACAATAAACAAACCATTAACATTTTCTTGACGATAAATATACCTACGTATTCTAATGAGCATGATTAAAAGTTGATATAAATTGATGCATTTTAGAGTTTTAATAAAAATATCACAAATTCATGATTTTTTTTTTCAGTTACACAATATTGAATTTAAGGCCAGGTAATTAAAAAATTGGGTTAAAATCATGAACAATATAACACATAAAGCCACAAATTGATTCAGCAACCTAATAATAATGTTACTGTCCTTTCCCACCAGTTCAGTATGGTACCTATCTAGTGAACATATATTTTCTTCAACTTTTATATTATCAAGTATGCTCACATATCAGGTACTACATATAATATTTGATTTTCTTGGTCTTATGTATCTCAAAATTAGGGAAGAGCAACTGATAATCTGTTTGAATATTATATAAAATTATATCTCTATCAAAATCAATAAAAGATTAGAATAGGTAGATTTGACTTATATATATACAAAGGGTATTATACTTTAGATTAAGTGCATTAAAAAAAGGGTGTTTTTTAATTATATGTTTTTGGGGCGTAGATTAAGAATCTGAAATCTGTTTTTGGCAGTCAGCATCGTAAATTTTTAATGGAACCTGTTCCTAACTGGACCTAACCTGCAAGGTTTTTGTTGATCGACTAGGTTTTTTCTATGTTTGGAGTCCGTCCGGCGGCCGGAAAAACCTAGCCAAGCAACATAAACCTCGCAGGTTAGGTCCAGTTAGGAACAGGTTCCATTAAAAATTTCCGATGCTGACTGCCAAAAACGGATTTCAGATTCTTAATCTACCGTACACCCCCAAAAAAATATATAATTAAAAAAACACCCTTTTTTTGGATGCACTTAATCTAAAGTACCTATTACCATACAAAGAATCAACCATAATTTACACATCTCAATGTTCCCATGAGGTAGCCATCCATTGGTGCAACAACAAATGACACTTCAATTGCAACCATAAAAAAATTAATTTAGTCACATTTTATTAATGCTTTATGAACATTTGAGCATGTCAAAACATATAGGAAATTCCCCTCATAATTCTTCCTTTGATATTGACTCTACTTTTTAATGAATAATCATTTATACCTTTCTTAAATTGGCTCTCCGCTCTTATAATCCTGATTACTGAATTTGATATATTTTCATGCTTATAAAATATTTCTTTATGGTGCTTGAGTAATGTTTGCTGAAATTGCTGTCTTCTCCATCTCATTGATTCCATTGAAGAGGTAACTGTGACAGTTACCTCTTAGAAAGTCAACATAGATGTTAACTGTCAAATAGCATGGTGCCATTGGCGATTGGTGGTTGTCAAAAATGTTGATAGGGCATGCTGTGTTGCATTATAATTTGTAATCATAAACTGGGGTGTGGGGACGGGGGTTGATTCCAACTTCCAAGCATGGGGGTGAATTGGACTGTTGTGACACTTCAGAAAATGAAACCATATAACTCAAAAAGTTTTTGCCTTATAAAAATTCTCATTTTGTTGATGGCTCTTGGACAGAGACTTGAAGTAGGGTAAACGCGGTATATTCCGACACATTAAAGACGGATCGAGAAATGAAAAACTATAAAAAAAACGTATGCGTTACGTAAGTTCTGTTGCCTTCACGTGACTCTCAAAACACTTCACTACGCGTCAGCAACGATGAAACGTCACGAAATGTTGCCATATTCATTAAAAAGCCTTTAGAATGGAAACCTACCAAATCCCTATATTCCGTCACTGTGTGTGGCAATATTCGACACGTGGTGAGTCGTATTGCTGTCTCTTATACACATCTAGATGTGTATAAGAGACTGGGGTAACACGTGCATAAACTTTGTAAATAAATTCGCATTCGCACCTCGTAAATGGCTTTTCATGGCCGAGATATGGAATTCACGGCTCGGTGAAATAGAATCACGGCTCGTAGAAATGGAATCACGGCTGGCAAATCCATAAAACCACGGCTCGAAAAATTCAGTCGCGGCTTGCCAAGTAGATATATTCCATACTAGGCTAGCACCATATCAAACCCAGTGGAAGTCTAGTAGCTATTTCAAACTATCATCATTATCATTCATCATCGTCAGTCATGAAAATTGAAAAGATCTGGTCAAATGACATGACTTTAGAGTTTAGATCTTCTGCTGTGAGAGTGTGAGTGTGAACAACTTAACAAGGCACGAAAAGTCTTAGGAAAAGAATAGGCAACAGGCTAAATCAGGCCAGGACAGGCACAGGACAGGCTTACAGCACTGACATCACTTGGGTCCTACAAAGTGGCAAACCAGAGCTTCTTTAGAATCAGTTCATTTTTAATTTCCTCATATACTCAAGATTTGAACCAATTTCTTAAGTATGATAATGCTGGTATCCAGGATACTTTACTGGTCTACTTATAGGACTCACAAATGAACTTGAGGGAGAGTCTAAAAAACTCTCTGCTTTGCCACTATGCTTGGGTATGTTATGTTATGAAGTTATGTTAAAGCCAACCTAGGCCAATTGTAGTAGTTACAAATACAAAACTGGAGGGGGGCACGGCCCAGGGCCCCAGGCCCCAGCCTCCAGGGGGACCTAGCGGTCCTAGCCCCCTAGTGGCGAAGTGGCCTAGTCCTTAAAAGAGAGAGGGCCAGCAGACAGCAGGATCCTCTAATTTGTATTGGTGTTTCTGGGACAATATTCTCATTATCACTGTTAGAGGCATGTGGCCTACCTACTCTACCACTACCAGTCTAAGAGTAAGGCTACCTACCTAGTAGCCTACAACTTACAAGTCTACAACTTGTACTGATAGTGGCAAAGCAGAGAGTTTTTTAGACTCTCCCTCAAGTTCATTTTTGAGCCCTATAAGTAGACCAGTAAAGTATCCTGGATACCAGCATTATCATACATAAGAAATTGGTTTAAATCTTGGGTAAATGAGGAAATTAAAAATGAATTGATTCTAAAAGATCTCTGGTTTGTCACTATGTAATGTACTCTGACATTAGGTATTAATACCGTATTATGCTTAGCTATGCTGTTAGGTATGCATGTTGTTGGTATTATTGCAGATTAACTACATCCAAAAAAAAGGGTGTTTTTTTTTAATTATATGTTTTTTGGGGTGTAGATTACGAATCTGAAATCCATTAACCCCCATGTTAGTAAATAAAGGTGAGTGGGTAACGTAAGTTACGTAACCCCCATGTTGGTAAGTCGCGAAAAAAATCGGTTTTCCGATGCCGACCGCCAAAAATGGATTTCAGATTCGTAATCTACACCCCAAAAAACATATAATTAAAAAAAAAACACCTTTTTTTTTTGGATGTAGTTAATCTGCAATAATACCCATGTTGTTTCTTGAATTGCAGGTTACACCTAAGACACCTTACAATAAGACACCATTTTTAAGAAAAGTAATGTTACTAATGTAGCCTTGATTAGTTAAAGGATATGGATATATATAGGTATGATATAGCCGCCGAGAGGTCCGAGTTCTTGACACTGGACGGAGTCCGACGGACCCTTTGGCATTTGCTAGTTAATAGTTATACTCGTGGTTTATATAAGTATTTTCTTATTGTGGTCCAAGATCAAGTTATACTCGATTTATAGATGATTATTTGCCGGTTAACTTCACGCAGTCAAGCACGATGGACACTAGCCACTAGGTAGAGATGTTTACTCGATGAACGCGGCTGATTCTTTCCGAGAAATGAATTTAATGTAACATGTTCACTTTTGGACGCTGAAGGGCGGACGTCTGATCCATGAAATGCCGGCAGCGGGAGTAATTCCGTATATTAAATGTGTTACAATGGCACGTTTGGAATGAAAACGCATGGTTCTTTTATTTTCTCTTTAATTGTCTTAAAATAATGAGAATAAGTATTTTGATTGAAGCTAACTCTACAATGTTATTTGCTGATACCCATAGTTGAATTAGTATATAATAATATATATTAATAGTTCAACCATGGAAAATGGGACTATTCCTACTTTAGGCTCTAAATTTCCGACTATTCCTCGGAACTTTAGGCTCTAAACTTACAATAGATTTTAGGAAAATTCTTATATTATGAAGCTTTCTCCTTCACGGTGTTCCATCATAGTGTACCGTTGTATTGTCAAAATACTTTGTAGCAATGCTAAATGGAAGTAAACCTTTGAGAAAATTCTTTTGTATGTGACTAACCAATGCTCGTGGCGGAATAAATAAGTTCATTCTCAATCTCACAGAGATATGACGGAACATGTGATTTGGTTTCATGCTTTGAAAAAGATTAACAAAAATCTAAATTTGTGCAGGTATTGCAAAATTTAACACAATAGAATCGTGATTACTTCACTCAAACTGTGAAAATTATCACAAATATGCGATCCTTCGTTTATTTTTTTTTCAATCTTACATAACTCAGTTCGAGTTTGGAGCACAAGTTCACTTCTCTGTCAAGGACTCCAATGTAGCTGAAACAGTCTGAAAATGTTCTGGACCATTCGGCAAGGAGCGATTTTTTTATGACCATATTCAAGTTAATAATGACTGGTTGTATGATTATTTATTCAAACTTATACCCAGGCCACATTTTACTTAATTAGACTGCATTTTTGTTACAAAAATTAGAATCATTTTGCTAAATGAAATTGTAATTATTTAGGGCTTAAAAACATTTTATGGAGGCTGAAGTCGCCCTAAAATGAGCCTAAGGGCGCCACTGCATCTGGCTTTTTTTTTATTCGACATGCGGGTAGCGGGTGCCCAGAAACCCAACAAATATTGTAAGTGCAAAGGGATCGATACAGAATTTTGCAGATGATATATCAGATAATTTATATAAATTCACATCACTGATAATTTATTATATGGGTCGAAATTTTTGAATGAACCTATTAAAACATATATGTAAACGTCATATATTTATAAAAAATTTCATAAGTAAAAGTGTTTTATTTTGAAATGCAAAAGAAATCGCGTGGCTAAAAGTAAAATAATCGGTTAAAAATATGAACACCGGAATCATCATAACATATGTCGTATTTTGTTAACTATGATCGTATTGTGCATAATAAGAGCTGCGTGTTGCGCGAGTCGTGACGTGACGAACTTTCAGTTGGTCACGAGAAGGCGGGCAGTAGAGGTGGGTAAAGAAGGATCGTGCCAATCTGTCCTTCACTGGTCGTCTGCTGCAATGGTGGGTCAAAATACGAAACTTTTGGGAGTTAAAAACCGTGCCATATAGTCTTAATTTATGATTAGCAGAACTCATATATTAATCCTTATAATGTAAATTTTGCTCAAGGGTGAATATTTTTTTCGCTTTCTGTAATTTGCTGCCATCCATATTTCCATATGCGTTAAATTAACATAAACAGAGGCTAAATTATGCAAACAATCTCATGTTTTTACGATTCTTTAATGAAAAAAGCTAGTGTTATCAACTTTATTTGAAAAAAAAAATTATTTTTGCAAATTTTATGGGTCGTCTCCGTTAATAACTTTCAGAGATGACTTACTGGGTACATCTCGGAGTGACTTCTCACGCACTTTGTATTTTTTATGACTTTAAGCCCGATTTCTACTCCTTAATTAAATTCAGGTCTGTAAATTTATGTCAGATAAAGGATAATAGTGATTTTTTATTGTATATGCATTTAATTGTCATTTCCCGTTGACAAACTTCACAACCCTTGCCATTGCTCGGTATTAATGTGACTGTGGCTAAAAAATTTCACAATATTTCCGCTTAATTTACTATGCGAAATTTGCGTTATTTCAAACGATTAATAAAACAAAAACGACGCAGTGAGTGTAACCTCGGAACACTTGCCTCGCGCGTATCCATTGAGCAAGCGTTCTCTCTGGCTTGCCTTTGATTGGTGATGACAGCTTGTTTGTCATCACAACTACTCCTTTTCAAGCCAACTTCTTGTACCTATTTATACAGAGTACCTAGCCTGGCTCGCATCATTATATTTATGTTAATGCATTGAGTATACTAATACAAGACAACTATGTAAACCATTCCGTCAATTGAAAACATATTTTCGGAAGACTTCGTTCATGGAAGCGTAAAACAGTTCAAGTACATACAGAATAGGGTAGAGTAGAGGCTCCATCTTACCAAATTTGTATATTTAGGTTGGAGTATTTAGTTGAGACGAGTTTGACATAATCGAATGCAAGTTTTATTTAAAACTTCTCTGGAGTTTAGATACTATATATATTCCCAAAGATCCTCAAGAAAACAAAACTAAAAATTACGAAAAAAATTTATAGGACACAACAACTCTAAGATATTGAAAAGTTTTTGCAAAGCAAACTTTCTCCCGTGTAACCTGCGTAGTTGTTTTATAGCTACTGCTTGCCGCATATTTTTTTCATCAGAGGTAAGTAATATTCTTTAAGTATGAATGAATGCTCGTAATTATCGTACATGTGAGTCGACTCAGCGAAGTTGAGGTGCTAACATTCCTATGAGCGACATTGCATGAGGAGCGTGGCTGCATTTTTCTTTTCATTTTGAAACTCGCATTTTCAATTAACTGCATAGCGACGACACATGCGCCGCGAAGTAGCAGATAAATAACGTGCGAGGTAGGAGTGAATTTAGGCTTCCCACTCACTTACTAAATATATATTATTGCTAGAATATGAGATTTGTTATAAGGTATCAGTGATACCTTACGATACCAGAACCTTACGTGATACCGTATCACGTAAGGTTCTGGCCATTAGTCCACGATGCACTCCCCGAAAAGTAATATTGCACAAAAAGATTTTAATTAGAGCTTTTAGTTTTAGTTCCTCGAAGAAATACTAGAAAATCGTTTATTGTTCGATTTTGTGGTGTTATTCTTAGTGTATTTTATTCTTTCTTTCGGTCAAAGATAAAGGAATCAAATGAAATAAAATTAAAAATAATTTTTTAACGTAAATGAATTAAATGAAATAAAAAGCCAAGAAGATTCGTTTTTCTTTGTTTTTCGAAAGTTTTAAATTGGATTTTATCCCATCAACTGATCCTAATTGACGTAAGACATGACCCCACCAGAATGAACGAGTGAAATTAGATATTTAATAGTGACTCTTATGTCTGAAAGTGGCGAGATAATCAATAAAACAAACACAGTAAGAACTAATCAGATGGGGCCGTACTATCAAAAATTATTACGAGATTCGTAAGCCAATCACTGACGGCTTTCCAAGCTCAACCCACCAATCCCAGAACAAAAAAACTGCCGCTTGGTGTACTTAGGCCGCAACGTGTACTTAAGAGAGCTCTGATAGTACCGCCCTAGGAGCACATGATGGCAAGGTATGGAGACGGTCAAGCATGGTTCTCTGACACGACTTATCCCATGCAGCGCGAGTATCTGTAGTAGCAGGGCCACTCTTAATAGCTTAATAGCAGCCGCCTGCCGGTCACAAGTTATCAGACTGTAGGCATGAGTCGCTTACCCACTCTGAATTTAAGTGCCCGCCTGGTTTGCTTCTGAAAGACTTCAAAGAGAGTGAAGTGGGGAGCTGCAGAAGCTACGAGTAGTGGCAGCAAGTGTCACTTGTGATGCAGATATATCGCTTCATAGTGTGCATGTTACACGAGAGACGCTGTGCTTCATCAAATTTTACAGTAGCGTTAGAAAAACGGAAACGAAAAATCGAACTAGGATTCAAGAGCTTGAAGTGTGCAGGCCTCGTTCCTGCTAGAAGATAACACATCAGACTCATTGGTACGAGTCGACAAGGAATGATCAACGTGTAGGATTCACCTACTACTTGTCTCGTTCTTACAATAAAATTAGTCATCGTCATAATGCAAAGAAGGCTGAAAGAAGAAACTTCCATTTAAGAGATTCTCAAATTGATCCCAATTCTCTTTTCTACCACAAATTAATCCTCTGTTAGGGTTCTTAATTGGTAAGCTAATTTCGAAATATTTCAAAGTTCAATTTTTCTAGACTGCTTCTGAATCGTTGATTTTGTTTTAATGATTTTGTTTTGAGCTCGTCTGGCAGACGAAAAGCTCCGGTGAAAAACTAAGAGTGAACATCTGTCTAAAAATGTTAATCCCTGCTTTTGTATTCTATCTCGAGGGTTAAAAAATCGCATTCGTAGCAGCACTATGTCAACCGCGTAAATATTCAAATTCAACATATTCAAATACAAATTCACCTATATATTTATGTATATATAATTCACTGATAAATTATCAAAATAATTCACTGGGAGAAAATCTTAGATCTCTTTGAAACAAGCAAGAAATACGCGCACATACCACAACGTTAGCGATGACGCCTTGAAAAGTCGCTCCTTCGATAGGCAAACCAAAGGAGTGTCACAGTATCTCACAATTTCATGCAGGTCGCATATAGCATGTGTTCAGCCAGGCAGCTCGGTATCAAACAGGGGCGAGCGTTGAACATCGCATGTCAAGAGGAGTGTTTACCAATTTATTAGGAATGTGAAGCCGTGGCGTTCGTGACATCACGTATGAAAATGAGATGATGAGACTACAACTCTCTGACTGAATTATATATAAGCTAACCTGTAATGCAAGATATGTTGTGTAATATTCTTTTAGGATTCAAGGACAGAGGTACGGTTGTTGCTGTGCGTTGTCCAAGCAACTTGGGATAAACCTACCTAAAAAACGTGGGCAACTTGGGATATAACCGACATAAATCGGTTACATTTCTAATTGTTTTATCTCGTCGAAACTTATATTACGTAATTTGCATGACAGCACCGGGTTTATTCATTCAAGCTATCAATTTTCACTGGCAATACTGCACGGGAATGAAATATTGAACTATTACTCTATTTGCCAATTTCGTGTTAAAAATGAGCTGCTACAGGAATTTCTATTGGTCGAACCTCACAAAAGAGTTTTCGTTTCCATTTCTTTGTAATTTTGCACCTTGAAATAATTTTGTTGTAAAATCTCATTTGATCGAATTCGTTGAACGAATTTAATGAAACAGCACGAGGCTCTTAACTTTATTTTCGCGCGATTTAATTTTTTCCAAACTAAGGCAAAATTCTTTCCATACGCATCAAACGACAACATTTGGAATCATAAAAGAATTTTCAAAGCAGCACTCCAGCTAAGACCCCTAGAATCATTACCTTTTTTTCTCTCGTTTTTATTTAACTACTTATGGAGCTGAAAAAAACACGAGAATAATTAACTGAAATTATGTTATTTTTTGATCGAGCATATGCAAAAAACTCAAATTCCATATTTTTCACGTAATTTTCTTTCACCGCTCTATGCAATTTCATCAATTTGCCAACGCATCTCATATCTAATATCCGGAATATTTTCACTATCTTTTTCCAGTTTCCATTCCACGTGAAGTGTTGTTCGATGCCGTGCTCGGCCAGAATGACGCACCTTACCACATCTCCGTTAATCCTGCTGCCGCTGCTGGTGATATCATGCATGCCTTCACTAGCCGCGGCCCAGAGGAACTTCTTCACTATCAATAGAAGGTTCGGCTACAGAGCGAGAGACAAGTCGATAGTTTATTCAAGCTATGAAAGACTAATAAGTTTTCGGTAAATGATACAACATATTAGAAACTGATTTCTACTAAAATGGGTTGCGATACAGAAATGTTGTTGGATAAACCTAAATACAACTCAGCCTATGTCATAATATATGAACAAATTATAATAAATAAATTTTACTTCATCGACCAATTTGTTAGGCACTGTAAAATGGCAGCACTAGCGAGAAGCAACGTAAATTTTTAACGATCGAAAATGTTACAGCCTATAGTAAAATTTTTTATGTCTGCATTTCCTAATGTCACGATGCATCACAATCAGTTCCGGGACGCTCAGCCGCATGTTGACGGACGGCACCGACAGTCTGCTGGACTCGCTGCAGAGAGGACATGAAGGCCTCCTAGCGCAACTTGAGGAACTGTCAAAAGCAATAAAGGTTCGGGATTGTATATATTGTGAAAATAATGTTTGATTGTAGTAGAATTAATAGGCGTCGGACTCAATCTATTTTCATAACAGGAAAGCAAGTATGTTTTTTAGGTAAAGTCCAAGAAAGAATCAGCAGTGGATAGAAATTATTTGAAGTTTAAAACTGATCCAAAGTCAGGAGTATGTTTAGCTTCGGAAAATGTGCACAACTTATGCTTGAATTTTTTTATGACACAATTTTTATGACACAAAAACTCACCTTATATGAAAATGAATTAAATGCAAAAATAGAATTGGTGTGACAGTCATTAAAGCCATAAAATTACTCCCATATTAAAAAAATTAAGATTTTTTTTTCGATTAGGTGAATGCGGTATATTTTACCATGCATTGGTTAAATACGTGCCGTTTGCTCATAGGAAGACGAGCTGAAACTGAACAACGTCTTCTACAAACTGGGTCGACACGACACCGACATTCTGTCGACCACTTCACAACAGATGTCTCTACAGAACACTGCACGCAAGCTCGAGAACAAACTTAACAAACAGTCTTTTAATGTGAGCAGATAAACTTAAATATTAGTTTAAACTTTCTGATACTCTGAAATAAGATTAAACCCTTCTTATATTATCATAAAAATTCATAGAAACCATGCATTCTTTTGGAAAATTTACGTCTTTATTTCGTTGTGTAGATGGACTTCTTACGAAGACACGTGTCGGAACTCAAGAGCGGAGTGGATACGAGTACCGCCACTGCGACAACAGTAAACGCCCTCAAGTTATCGGTGGACTCTCTACAGAAGTCCCTTGCTCTGGCGCTTTTCAGGACGGAGCAGCTTGAGAATAAGACCAAGCTAATGGAACGCGAGCTGCGCACCGGGACCCAAGTCTATGGGGCTGACGTCGATGAGAAAAATATTTACTACGCAAGCCGCTCCCCCAAAACCACCTACTACTATCTAGACTCTGGTTAGAAATAAAAACCATAATTATGGGAGGCAGAATTGATTTAATTGAGTTATTCTATCTTCATCCATACGTAGGCTGCTATTAAAGGCGATCCGGATGATAAAACAGTATATTGAACTGATTAACCGACAATACATAGCATAATTTAATTTTAAACCATGAGACCTTGACTTACATGTTGACGTAGTCATGTCCTCATCTCAGACAATAATTTATGTAGTCGTACCATTTTAGGTGAAATTTATTTTCTTCCTTTTCTATAACTGATTATTTCAAGTAAGTTACTCTTACAACAGACGCCCTAGAAGGCGTATGCGACGAGTCAGGTGGCTGGGTGAGCGTCGCAAGTGGCGGCTGTTGGCTGGTCGTGAGCGACGCCGTGTCGTTCCTTGAAGCTGTCGCGGGCTGCGCCAAGAAGGGAGCTGTGCTCGCTCAGCTGCCTCTGGACGACAGGGACTGGCCGGCACAAGTCAAACGCAAGTTCACAGGTCAGATTTTGGAAACTTATGGCTAAGAATTAGGATACTGTACGGAGAACTTATGGTTAAGAATTAGGATGCTGTAAGGTTTTCACTTGACTTTTGGGATATCTTCTATAATTAACAGTGTCATTATGTAAGGAAAGAATTACATGTAAAAGCACACGTTATTGCTTTTTCCTAAGGCTAGGCACGTAATGTAAACAACTCATTAGTTGCGGGTAATATCTAGCTTGACGGTTCCTAACAGAAACGACATACCTATTGGAGATAACAATTAAAAAATTTATTCTTGTATATAGAAAGATTGACCTTATTTTTAACAATTGAGCGCAACAATAAGCATTTAAAAAAAATAATCTCGTTTTATTAAAGAGCGACAAGACTGACCTTGAATAGCAACCATTTGAGATCTAGCAATTAGATCAATTAATATTTCGCAATTTAAGTCCTCGTTGAAATTTACGGACATTTAAATTACGTTTGAATTACTCATTCATATTTTCTAACAGTGGATTTAGTTTCATTTATGCTGGCTGCCTGGCACCACATTTGTTTCTCAAAAACTAGAGTAAAGTACACAAAAGTACATTGATGATTATTCAATTTATACATAGTACAAAATAGACGATATATGTATTCGATCGAAAATATCAAATCGAGCTGACAAATTTTCTAAGATAGGTCCCTCCTCATTTTACTAACTAACTATCGAATGACCTTTGGCAATAGTTCAATTTCATTGGTTTCTGACAAGCTTTTTCAACCATCGCAAGCTCTCAGTTGATAACATGAGTTCGTTTCCAGAGCCCAGTTCGAACTCAATGCACTGGACGAGCGGCACTTCGGTTTTCTCGCCTGATGCTTGGGTGTACCTTTTCTCCGGGTCCGCGATACCAGGCGAACATTGGACGGACGGCTTCGCTCCGACCAACTCTGCTTCCCGCCACTGCGCCGTGATGGCAACTACGGGGCTAATGGCGGTGTCCTGCTCCATGAAGAACGCTTATGTCTGTGAAAAACTTTGAGCTGATAAATAAGGATGGTTATCAAGATCTTCTAGTGCACTTTTAAGAGTTTTGGCATTATTTTTAGAAAAAAATTATGGGTTCAAGTAAAGCCACGTTGTGTATACTGTAGAAGCCATTCAAAAACCAGTGTAAAGTTCAGAGTACCAAGAATGGAGCAGAGAGGCGCGGGTTCGATCCCAGCTCTGTGCGCCAGTTTCTGGTCAGAATCGGCTAGGAGGCCGGGCCGTTAAGCACAGCAGAATTGTAGCAGTGAGTTGCGAGTTCGAGACCGCAAAATGCTGCGAATGTTCTGCGATGTTAAGAATCGGCGACAGGCCTACGGCCTAATAAACACTGAAACAGCTATTATTATTATTATTATTAAATCTTCCAATGATTACACCAATGACGGTGGACTCTGACTGTGCCTGTGTACATTGTCACGGCGCGGAAAAAACTCGGAGAATGATTTCTCTCGTATCCATTAAATGCTCAAATAAACTACCAAGTTCGTTTTTCGGTCGTTCTAGATAGTTCTGTTGTAAAAAATAAAAATGTTTGAATTCACATCAATGTAGCTGATCTGAAGTTTCGAATGAGTAAAAGATCAAAAGAGAATCATGTAAAGCTTCTTGGAGTTTCTTCATCGATTCCAATTTTATATTCCAGGAACTGAGGCGAATTAATCATTTCATTTACGTGAATGGGAATGCTGTTGTGTACACAATGACAATAGTTCGAGCGTTCCGGTGTACCCCTTCCGGCAGAAACGAGCGTTCTGTTAGAACAGTAAGATTGAACTTGCAGGGTGTAACGAGTTCGAGACTTAGCTAGCTGTAAAAATTTTACGTCGGCTGGAATCAGCTAGTCTACAGACCAAACATGATTTATTCTTAAACGTAGCCGCCAAGTTATTCTTATTATTAACCACTTATATAACCTGTAGCTCTACCGAATCGAATGTAATCAGTACATTCAAAACATATAGTAGGAATAGATTAAGCTACTGGCAGAATTAGTGACTTATTAATTCTAATAACGATGAGTGATGGTATTCCTGTTAAAAAAACTATATAATTTGCCTCTTCTTCAGGAAAAATCGTTTCATAATTAAATTGTGTTACTTTTCCTCAGCCACTTGAAATAAAGGACGTGAATTACAGAAAAAAAATCAGTCCTCTTTGTCGGGACACTTTCAGATCCTACGGAGGATCGGGCTTTCCTCAAATCTACGTGTCGGTAAAAGTAGAGTTGAATTTCCATTCCCAGTCACAGTTATTTAAGATTTGAATAATGAAAAAATGTTTGACTGTAATGCTGCACGACTTTGCTAAAAGACAGCTGCAGTTTTACTTTAAAAAAAAACCCAAGTGATAAAAAGCGTTTTCAAAAGGCTAAAATATTTGACACTATCAATTATAAGCTAATTAACATAACATAGTGATGTCGGCTCTGAAGTGTAGGCCTGATGTGGCCTGTCGCCGATTCTTTTCCATTTCGTGCCTTGTTCATAGATCTAAACTCGTGTCATTTGACCGGATCTTTTCATGACTGGCGATAGTTTGAAGAAGCTACTAGACTTCCACCGGGTTCGATAAGGAGCTAGGCATTTCAAATCTGAACATATATTTTTC